AAAAAACCTATAGAAATCCAACCACATTCGGTGTCCTAGTGCCCTTGAGTAGAGGATCAGTCATACCTTTTAACATTATCTGTTTTCTAAATTCTTCAAGAAATTTATAGATATACTTTTCAAAATTCTAGAGTGCTTAGAGTACAGTCAGGTTCAGTAGAGATACAACAACCCCTACAACTGGCTACTTATATTTACCAAATCAATCCAACATGCCTTCATTAAATGCTAAGGCAGCTCCTTCGTATTGATATTATTAGTGTTAGTAGAAGTATCACTAGAAAAAGATGCACACAAACCGTTAGAAACCAAAGAAAACTGCAATAATAAGCACGCAAAGGCGCTTGAGATAGCCGTGAATCCTCCTCTGAACCAAGCCTTAGTAAAATAATAGTTTCATAATTTCATAATTGTACGTTATTTTCAGGGTTGACCACATGGCTTTGTGTAGCACCTTGCTTCGCTATTGCTGCTTGTATACCGTTATGTTTGATCCCACTTGCCATCTATCTATCGCTGGACAAGGAACCCTTGAAAGATCACCTGAGACAGACAACTGACCATCAACCTATACAATACGCCATCTTGACAGATGAAGAACTCTCTGACGAACAAGAAACACCAGAAGCAGTGCCGAGTCTTTCCAAAGTATTGTTTCTTTTCAAAGCGCTTCCTATTATGGGGTATAATTTTATATCCAGCACTTGCTGTCATGTCTCGGTAGCGTCCGTATTATCAACCCTAACGTTTCCTTCCTCGCCATTTCTTCCTCGTGATCATTACCAATACTACCGGCTACTCAGTGACTCAGGGATGCTGTTTGGAGGGCTCTTGATTCTAGTGGTCTCGTGTTTTGGAGAAAAATGCATGGAATTCTTTAGGATTCGAAAACTCTGGTCCCTCGTTACGTTGAACGTCATCATTCTGTTGTTCTTCGTCTTTGCATCGTGGTACCGTTTTCTACCTAATGTTATATTTGTACTTGTGCTGTGTTTCGTCCAAGGACTTTTACACGGTGTAACGATTGTTTATTGTGCACAAAATATCGCCAGTCTTTATTCCAGCCCACGAGACAAGGGTACAGCTCTAAGCCTGTTGCAGGTATCTTTTTCTTGTTCTCGACTGGCTGCAGCATCTTTAGGGTTTTTTGTTGAACCATATCTGAGGGAGCACTGTACATATCGGTTGATGTTGGGTCGATTTTGCCTGGCACGACATGCAGCTCATGGCGAATGGGGCACCAACAAACACTGCAGGATCTAGAACAATGGTCGGTATTGCCCGTTGACAAGAAGTTAGGGACTATTGCGCAAGGAGGGGGATTGCCTATTCCTTTTATCGTCGCACACAAGGAAAAAAAAGCACTTGGGTTTGGATTATATGCTGACGCCATTCTGTGTTCTCTACAGACCACAGAAAAAGGACCTGGATTTGCTAATTATCAGGTCGTGAAACTCAGATAATCACACGATAATCACCTCGCGATAATTCAAAATAACGTCCAGCCGCGTGTCTTTTATCTTCTTTTTTTCTTCTTTTTTCAGAAGAATCACCTGTGTATTTATACTAAAATAATTATTCGCCTCAGGCTCAGTGAATATCGGGAATAATAACCTCAACTTCGTGTCGGTTATTATTCCCCGATATTCACTTCGTCTTCGGCGAAAATATTGTTAATTAACGGGGGAGAATAAATTTTTGTACATTTACGAACTTATGAATAAATGATTTTTGAATTCAAATTCAAAAACTGGACGTAATATTTTTATCCATTTCACACATCGTTTTATTCTCTTGAGAATAAGATTCCTTGTTGAGTTGTTGGTACATCTATGTGTGTTTTCAAGGGCAATCGTTACTGAAAAGACACTGATTGCTGAAAATAGTAAATGTCTGTCTTAGAATAAACGCATTCTAAAGGTTTGTTGAGAATAAAATTGTTAACTACTAAAAAACAGATTTCGTGCTCGTCAGACATTTTATATTGTATTGGGATTTGATATTGTATTCAATGGTCAATCAAGCCCGGATGTCGCAATCGGTGGAGCTTGGTGAATTCACTGCTTCAGTGCTTCGTTCCTGAAAATATGTATATTCAGTTCATTTGTCGATTTTGGCTTTCACGAAAAGCTTCTCATGGCGAATTGGGAACTAACAAACACTGCGGGATGTAGAACAATATGGTCGGTAGCCCCAGTTCATCGCTGTACACGAAAAAAGGTTTTAACCTAGCTGTAGGGTTACCTCACTTTCTTGAAGAGGGCCTTAGGGAATGCAAGAGCTCACTCATGGAACACAACGCACTAAGGGGACAGTAATTAAGTATACAAATATCTAGACACCTTAGATGTTCTCTATTTCACTACGACGTCACATCAAAACAATCTATTGTTTACACACAATGGATCATGGTCGTCGAAGGGTGTCAAATCAACGCAAATTCACCGAAACTTGTTCTAAAACCCGTATCAATCCACGAAGAGAAGTAGAATTGCCAGCAAATGCTCAGAATATTTTTTAGCACATATTAACACATATTATATCTGAAAACCAGGCCATTTTAGATTAAACTGTTTCGCTAGGAGCAAATGCTATTAAATTTTCTATTGGATTTGGCGATTCTAACAATACGATTCTAACAATACGATTGATCGATCCCCAAGAGGCACTATCTTAGAGGCACGATGATTCCCAATTACTAGTGGTTACTATACTTAGTATCATCTTTGAGTGATTGTTTCCCCAGGTACTTGTGATTACCTTCAGTTGTCTAAAACAATATGTAATCCTATTATGTCCTCCGAACCCCTCCCCCCTTAGGCAATACATATTGACCGGTCCCTTAAGAACTCTTAAGCCCGGTTTAGACGGTACGATTTTCGCCTACAACTATCGTATACAACACGNCAGTAGTTGAGAGAAGCAGTGTATCCCTTACGTGTTACTTGGAAGGCAAACCAGTATCTAATGTAACCTGGTTGAAAGATGGTCACCCAATCATACCTGCTAATGACAACAGAATATCTGTAWCKCYACCCTCCTCAGTCAGTAATACAACTGCTACGATTACTATTACTAATGTGAACCGTACTGACGAAGGCTACTATTCTTGTCAAGCTTTGAATGATGTCRGTAATGATACCTCATCTGGAGCATTGCTGACAGTCAACTGTAAGTACTAAATCACTACCTTAAACTTTGGGTGTTATCCCAGGGGGTRTACTCGGGTGGGTAATATGACGGGGAGGTGTGACGTATTTTTTTGGGTTGACAATTCGTTCCTGGTATTTTTTTGGGTCAAGAGACCAGCCACGTATTTTTTTAGGTCTCGAAATGAAACCCGTTTTTTATGGCTCGTCACATCTCTGAGTTCGATTTTTGTATCAGAAAATTATTTGTTAGATTTTTTTTTCAGCAAGGCGTGTGTGAGTTCCTAAAGGAACGTACTGATGTCATGTATTTTTTTGGGTGTAAAATTTCAGGTTTGAGTCTTTTTTTGGGGGGGGGTTGCAATATGAAGCTCCGTCGGACTCCCCCCCCCCCCCCCCCCCCCCCCCCCCGCACCCCCCCCCCCCCCCGGGAAATCGTACCGTCTAAACCAGCCTTTAAAGAAGCATATATCAAGCTGTTACGTAGGAAAGGACCCAATTAGAATTAGCCGCTTTTGGTGGGCTAATGTAGTGTGTAATGCTGCATAAAATACTTGATGTTTTATAAAAGAGTGGTTGTTGGATGCTGGTGAACGTGGTCTAGTAGAGAGAATGCAAGATTAATTGGCGACTGTTTATGGATGCAGCTAATTACATTTTCAAATATTTTATTTTTTCTTTATCATGATATATAACAATTTAATTTGGAACAACTAAAATGTGTTGCCTTTGTCGTTGGGTGTTTGGCATGTTTCTATATGAGGTATTGGAATGTTATAATGTGACCCTCCAGGGGAGGGGTGAGGAAGACATTTGGCAGTGTGAGGCAGGTACTACTTTCAGGTACTTGGTAGAGGGTGAGGATTGTCTTTTTAAAAGGGGATGGTGCGTGATCTATCTTGTGTTCTAAGTAAGATGGCAGGAGAAAATGTGCCATGCGCCAACTAGAGTAGGAGTGGCAAGATCTTTATCTGGTTACAGGGGAGGGGTAGGTAGTGAACAAGAGGGGTCGAGAGTCAGGGAATGGATAGAGTGTTATTGTGGTGATACTGTTTCCGTCCTGGTTGGTGAAGTTAGGGCGTCAGTGCCCTCCATTCTTATGGTCACCTCATCATCTAATGAATCATCGATTGGATGCTTTTTCCAGAAGTCTTCCACTTTCAGAAATATGTCTACTGCTTCCTGTTTAAATGGGTTTGTAAAAAAAAAAAAAAGAAGCAAAAACAGTTAATATAAGAGGTAATATGATATTAGGAATACGTTCTTTAAGAAAGATCTTTTAATGCTTCCTGTTTACAGTAAGAATTGAAAAACCGTGAAATATTCCAGGAATGTTCTATTGTTCTTTGGCCAATCAGAATTGACTTTCTGACCACAAGATAATGGAAAGATAACAAAAATGCTTCCGATTGGCTATTGAACATTTTCTGAAATATTTCTAGGTGCCCACGGTTTTTCGATTTAGGTGTATGCTTTCCAGACAGTCTACTTATTGTGAGTTCTTACATTTCTCATCTCTCTCTGGTATTCTCTCAGTTCCTGTACATCAGGTCTCTTCCTAACACAGTATCCTCTGTAGAAAGACTGGATTATGATGGCAGCTTCTTCATCGCTCAGAAGAAGAGATAGGGGAAGGGGAGTACGTGGGCTGGGGAAAAAAAGAAAAATAAAAGTCAATTATTTTATTTCGTTGTTCAGCAACATTTATAATTCATCGTGATTTTGAGCTGCCAGTACAGGTTATATTTTCATCTGCTCTCGTGATCATACTTAAAGTGCCTATCACCCTTCTGACATATATTCACATTATTAATTTTGCATGAGGTAAGATGTTGAATAACCCCAAAAAAAATCATAGTTTGAGTGCGGCAGCCTTTTTAAGTTATGAAGGTTTTACCATGCCAATATTGTCAAAAGGGTGATAGGCACTTTAACAAAGTTGAAGTACTACTCTTTCAAGTTACGATTTTTTTATTGCCTTCGTAGCATCTGTACATTAACACAACAAGATGCTATGAAAGTGATGAAAAAATTCCAACTTTCTGTTCTATTGGGAAGAGTACTTAAAGGTGATAACTCTTACTATTTATTATTATGTCCACTTTTGGTTAACCTACTTTTTGGCAAGGATTCTCTCTACGAATGGAATGTCAAGTAATGACAATCTTTCTCTGTCTTTAAAACAAGGATTATTCCTAGAAATTATATCAAGAATATTGATATTACAAAAAGACCATGAAAACATGCATCCAGATATAAATCATAGACTTCTGGAATTTTCAAAGACTTAATCAGATTCTCCTGAGTCTGCCCTTCAGGATTTGATCTGTGAGTTAGCCATGCCCTGACTTAGATCAGCCTAGAGGTTGTTGTTTCAGGGTTCAATCTGTGAGTTAACAGTACCCTGACTTAGATCAGCCCAGAGGTTGTTTCAGGGTTCAATCTGTGAGTTAACAGTACCCTNCAATCTGTGAGTTAACAGTACCCTGACTTAGATCAGCCCAGAGGTTGTTTCAGGGTTCAATCTGTGAGTTAACAGTACCCTGACTTAGATCAGCCTAGAGGTTGTTTCAGGGTTCAATCTGTGAGTTAGCAGTGCCCTGACTTAGATCAGCCCAGAGGCTGTTTCAGGGTTCAATCTGTGAGTTAGCCATGCCCTGACTTAGATCAGCCTAGAGGTTGTTGTTTCAGGGTTCAATCTATGAGTTAGCCATGCCCTGACTTAGATCAGCCCAGAGGTTGTTTCAGGGTTCAATCTGTGAGTTAGCAGTGCCCTGACTTAGATCAGCCCAGAGGTTGTTTCAGGGTTCAATCTGTGAGTTAGCGGATGCCCTGACTTAGATCAGCCCAGAGGTTGCTTCAGGGTTCTATCTGTGAGTTAGCAGTGCCCTGACTTAGATCAGCCCAGAGGTTGTTGTTTCAGGGATTGATCTGTAAGTTAGCGGATGCCCTGACTTAGATCAGCCCAGAGGTTAGGGTTTGATTAAACTGAAGTTCATTCCTTACTTGTATAAATACTCTGTAAGAAAATCACAAGCATTGAATTTTGTTCTTCTTCTCTAAAACAACAAAAAAGTCCATATATTTAACAACTTTGAAGTATCCTTTATATATTCACTAAATAAACGTTACATTCAATGTGATATAACACTGGGATATGAAAATGAGTATGCTAATTCATGATTATAAGATGTAACTGTTCAGCAGTTTCTACTGCAGGGGGAATCGACGTAATGTTTTTGCATTTCAGACCATGTGTCATTGCCTTGAGAAATATGAGATATTTTGTATGCGTTCTATTCATATTCAATGTGTCTTCCAATGCACAACAGTAGTTAAACAAAGAAATATTACTCTACAGAATGACAAGCGGCCTGAAATGGGAATACAGTACTGCACAGGCTAGATTATTAAGTCCCTAGAGAAATAATATTTACAATAGTGATGGCAGTCATATGGGGGAGGGGGGGGGGGTACTCCCCTATATTTTTCACTATATGGGTGTACATGCTGCCAAACAGGGTATGGTTATCAGCAATTCTACTCTGGAACAGGGCATATGAAATCATGGTCTCTCCTCTCTGTAACTGTATCTATTTTTGTAATACCGGAACAGGGTATGGTTTTCAGGGATCTTGCTCTGGAACAGGGTATGAATTTCATCTATTTTACTCTGGAACAGGGTCAAGGTTCAGAGGGCTCAGTGGCACATCCCTACCCTAAACGGGCAAGAGTACCCCCCCCCCCCTCTAGATTTGTGCACCTAACAAAACAAATTAAACTAATGAAATGGTTATTGTCAAAGGTACACCAATATGGTGGCTATGACGTCATGTGAAAACACTCTATTCCAGGATATATATTTGAACATACATTATCCTACCTCAAATACTTTATTCTCCTTTGCCGCCACCAGCATTTTTTCCATGGCTGGTAATAGTATGGGAAATATATAGGTTTCAAGGTACTCTCTTGGATTACCTGGAAACAACCATGAAAAAATGAAGAATATGACATGAAAGATACTGTACCTAGTTTGTCCTGGTACAATGTTTCCTCTTTTAGACCACGTCATTTTCTAGAAAATAAGATTCTTGGTTTGAGTTTGTATCTACAGGTGTTCTTGTCTTTCATATTGCAACCATTAAACAGTCAGGATTGATAATTTTGGGAATGACATGTGGTCTGCGATGGGAAAACATTGTTTCAAGGAAATTAGGTCTATTCCAGGAAATATAACAACCTCACAACAACAACAACAACAACAACAACAAAGAATGACATTATTTCAGGTACTATTATGGGCTGGTAACACACAGCAACTTATGATGAGCTTTCGTGAAAATGGTTGGCATATTACTGTAGTTTTCGATATTCTGCAAACTTGCTGCTGTCAATCAAAAATAATCATTTGGTACCTTTTATATTTAGGACTGCCAGCAGGAGAATTCCATTTCACAACAAGCCATTAAAATACCTGAGTTTGCAGAATATTGAAAATGGAAGTGACATCAAAATGATTTTGCTAGCAAATGAATATCAAATCTACTATAACAAATAACAAAAATAACGAATCAAAAACAACAACTGGGGAAAAAGGAGAATATCCAGCTAATCTAAAATAGTGCCGTAGAAATAACGTCACTGCAAAACTGAGGTGTTGTGAAGCCTGTGGAAATCAAACAGCTAAGAATAAAATATACATGCCCGCCATTGGAATAAAAATATAAGAATAATGAATTATTCTGTCAATGTTATCAAGCATGCGTTAGGAACATTATTATTTTTCATTAGGTGGCCTGAAAATCTGTGATTTTAAAGTGTATATGACACGAAAACATTTCATCGTTTAAAATGTATAGTTTGTTAATAACAATAAATATGTCGTAATAACATTTCTTTCAAAAGCTTATTTCTTGAGATATGTGAGAAAATTAAGCCCAATTTGTGACGTCATTTTGTTGACACGTACTCTAGATTCGGTAGAAATGCACTAAATATAAATTGTAATTCTTATAAAATAACAACAAAAGGCATATTCTATTCAGCTTCATTTGATAGCTTACGAAATACTCTTCAAATGGTGGGAAACTGAAAAGTGTACTACCTGAAWTTAAGATTCTGCATTCAAACAAATTTCGTGTATTTGCAACTAAATCTGGAGACTTGTAAACAAAATGACGTCACAACATGTGCTAAATTTTCTTGAATTTCTAGAGAAATACGTTTTTGAAACAAATTTAACTGTGATATTCTTATTCATGCCAATAGAATACACATTTTTAACATTAAAATGTTTTCGTGTCATATCCACTTTAAGAGGAAAACTGGCACCTTGGTTTTGCAAATTATCTCCATTCTAATTGGCTTACATTTTTTCTTAGATTACCTGGATGAACGAAATGAAGGATGAACAAAAGACAAAGAAAAACGAAACACAAGAAATACAAAGCAAAATAAAAAAGAAGACAAAAACAACTACAGATGAATAATGTAAATAAAGTGAAAACAAAAAAAAACAAACAAAACAAAATAAAAACAAACAAAAAAAACAAACAAACAAAACAAAACAACAACAACAGAAAACTCGGCCACAAATGCATTACCACATCCAATATAAATAAACCTAAACATATCTTCTTTTCGTCTTGAAAAACAAATCCCAAAATAAGACTTTAATCTGTCAACGCTTACATTCTTTGGGGTTTGGTAAGATTGGCTCTTCTTTCGTAACAGGAGGCTTTTTATCTAACAATACGTAACCATACGTAGCAGGATGTGTAGTAGCGGGATCATAATCGGGAAGAAGCGACGATCGAGTCGATCCTACATCATCAAAGTCTTCTGCATCTCCCAGTTTATGTCCATAACGACCAACAAAAACAGGCGAACACTTCGATGCGTCGTACGATTTTCCATCAAACATTTCACCCTCAAACACTTCTTTTTTACTGCTATATCTGAGCGCGTTTAGCTCTAACATCTCACTAAAGATGGACGATGTCGGACTACACGCTGCTACGTACATTTTAATGGATATTTTTGGCTAAAAATGTCAAAAAATGTCAACAAATGAAGTGTCGTTTGAAGACAGACGTCCGCCATTAATGTGTTGTCTATAGCAACCAAACCGCTGGCTAGATTGTAGCATGGGCTTTGAAAGAGACAGGGAGCCCAAATACTACGTTCATCTGATATGACTGATTTTGAGAATCGAATTACTTTATATCTTAATTAATTGATTAATTGATTATAAATCAGGCCATACCTCCAAACATCGAGTGTTGGGTATGTTTGAGACACGGGCCTCTGGCACCCAGGGTAATGGTAACGTTGATTCAATTAAAACGAACATTATTCGTAGTGTGAATCAGTATTAGCCTCGTTTTGATACCTAAATATGAGGAGTTAAATGCGCGGTTTGAATTAGTGACAATTATATCAGAATCTTTCTCAGAATAATAAATAAGTAAATAAATATTAAATAAATATAATAATAATAATAATTTTATTCTTGCGCATTACAATAATATCTCTATGCTTCCCGATTATTATCCCGCTACTACACATCCTGCTACGTATGGTTACGTATTGTTAGATAAAAAGCCTCCTGTTACGAAAGAAGAGTCTTTAGAATATAATTACCAATGAAATATCTATTTTTCTCTATTTCGAAAAATTGATATCTTCACACGTGAAAATAACATGTTATTTTCATGTGTGAAGATAACACCATTGCGATGACTATTCAAAAATACACGGAAAGAATTGCCTGAAAAAGCCAAAACGTACTTCATTGATAATTATATAATAAACAGAATATTACATGGGCACTTGGAGATACGAAAATTATCTTCTTGTGTTGAAAATCTCTCACTCGTTCGCTGCGCTCACTTGTGAGAGATCTTTTCAACACTCGAAGATAAATTTCGTATCTCCGCGCGCCCATGTAATATCCTCTATATCTGTAATGATGAAAAGGTAAATTATACACCGTGAAAAGATGAAAAAAATAGC